GAAGAAGTGAGAGTTTTAAATAAAATTTATAATTAAAATTTTATTACTTTATTACATGCTGCGAAATTTTACTTTATTATTCTCAGTTGTTAATAAAGACACTCATTTAGTGTACTAGTGTCCTATAGACAGCTAACTATGTCACGAGGTCCCGACAGCCTGCACCCTTCAGGCGACGATCGGAAGCGCACCGCTTAGCCGCACTTCCGGCTCCACCGTCACTAGACAAGCGCCGCGAGAGGGCGCCACTTGATACCATATCCTGAATAAATAAGATTAATGTACTCCCAGAGGTAGGGAGGTGGAGGCCAGAAATAATAACTGTGTGTAAGCCGAGCACATTATGACGTCATTATTACCTCGCCAAGTGCTTGCCTCGCCTTTTCATATGACTTTCGTAGCAATATTACTGTCTATATATAAGTCGTGCGATTTGTTGAGAGTATCGGGAATAGAACGTTTTATATTGTCACCGAGTAAATTATCTTGATAAAGTTATTACGTGTCACTAAACATGGCTTAACTTACATTCTGAATTTAAATAATGAAAAAGTATATTGTCAGCCTAAACATAAACCCAACTGTATAAAATAATATGATCCACCAGGGAACACAAAGTACCTACGCATACTATAGAGATACGCATATTATAATTGTATGTGATCCAATCAGCTAAAAACTAAACGTACAGTTGTGTGAGTGTGCCGCGGGCGGGTCTGATACAGATCGTAACATAATGGCGGCGTTTCAAAAACAAAAGCCAATCAGTTTTTACGCGACACGTAGCGGGCATTAGTCGAGGATCCTGCGATCGATGTCACGACCAATCTCACTCATTTAGATAACCACTGCCAGGGAAACTACGGCCCACTATTTTATTATTTTCATATCGAAAGTACTTGTAATTGTCAAACTATGGATTTATAGTTGTGTAAACTGTAAAGGATGATGCTTTTGGTTTCATTTTCCAAAAGCTGTGATGTAAAAACACATTACAAATGTCCAACGATAGTTCTGTTGTATGAAGGTGTCTTCTTCTTTTGTAATTTTTCGTAATTTCCATTACTAGCTAGTTGGTTTGTATTATCTTTTTATATCTTAACACCTCGTATACACAGTACTGAACGATTTACCGCTGATACACTATTCACTAAAACCACTTCATATTTCACTTAATATACAAAACAAACCTCATAACCGACGCGACGCGACGCGACGTAGCATCAAATCAAACAGCCACTAAAACCTACTTATGACGATAAAAACATCTCCAGCAAAAACCGTGTCCACTTTACAAGCTCCGTAAATAATTCGTGTCACACCCGAACCGCTTGTTTACTCATTACGAGCTGTATAACAAGGCAATAAAGTCGACATCCGCTTGTTAACGGGGTTGGTAGAAGTCACGTGCGCGAGTATCGGTGGTCATAGTTTACGATAATTCGGGATATTTGCCCGAGGGGGAGTGTGCGGGACCTCCACGTTCCGGTTTTTGTGTATGTATTGATTCTGATGTCCTCTTTCAATTGTGACGTGGATTATGGAATTTAATTATACGATCTCTTTATTTCAAAAGAGTATGTCCAATTTGTTTCGGTAAAGCAAGGCGAGGTTTTATGTTGATTGATAGATACATGGAAGAAGGACTGCACGTGCCATGTGTACTGAAACCATGGCTTCAGGACGTGATTCCACTACAACTGTGTAAAACCAACATAGATTTATGTACACTGGAAACATAAAAATTACATGAGAAGTAATAAATAGTGTTATAGGGGAGAAAAACTAGATCAAATGTATTTCTTGTCTTGTAAGACACGGTAGTTTTAAACAAAATGTAGTAGAACAATATTGTTTGTTCAAACTAAAGACCCATGCAGCTGCATGAGCCTATGCCTATGTAGCTACATAGCATATGTTTAGTATTGCTATTTTATTGGATAAATTAAAGCTTGAACTGTGTCTCGAGGACGACGTGGAACATTTTACATAGATAGTTTAACATTGTCTAACTGAATACTAATTTAATGTTGTACCTTTATGATGGAGAAACGTGGTATTTTTTCCCATGAAAACGGTCAATGATATAAAAATATCAGGAATTTCAAAAGCTTATTCATTTAGTATGACGATTAAATAATCGCCGGCACGCGTAATCCGTGATGAATGTGCGTCGTACGTCACCGCGGCACTGTATCGCTGCGTGCCGACATTAGCCAGGCTCACGCGGCTCTCCCCGCTTCCATATCTATGCGTTATCGACTATGTATCATCACTTAACAATACCTGTAATCGAAAGCCTCTTTTTCAAAATCATGAAATTTACGTTATTGTGTCATCGTCATCAAAAAAGACAATCCGCCATTTCGTTCTTATGTTTTATTATTTTTTGTTTTTCGTAAAATAACATCACCTTAGGCAAAACTTTATCTTTCGTGCTCTAGAGAAAACTAGTCAACAAGAAAACGCATTTATTATACTGGAAGCATTCGCAAGATTAGTCGCACGTGCGGACGGTACGTGCGACTGTGAAGCAGAAACAAAAACTTTGGAAGGCGGCGGCCGTGCGCCGCCGGTCGCCGGTCGCCGGTGCGCGCTGCTCCTAACCCTTCGCAACCCAACGCGCGCTGAACCGTTGAAAAACGCTAAAATTCGCCGCCAGAAATGAACCAACGAACGGTGAAATTACGGGCGCGGACGAGTTTGCTCGCGAGAAAAAATAGCCCCCAAAACGGGCGAAGCAATTTGTCTTAAGTGGCTAAAACAGTGAAATATTCGGGAACTTTTAAAGCGTATTAAAGTTTAGCCGGACCTTTTGTAGATGTGAGGAGCGATAGGGCCGGGACGGTTAGCCGCGATTTTCCAGAGGTGATGACGCGTTTCTACGCCTCGTTTTTAATTAATACGAAAAGTTAGTCGTGAGGCGAGCGGCGCCCGGCCCGCCTTATTGTACACTTTAATTATATAAATACACGGCCCCTAATGAACAGGAGGCGACACCTCAGCGCGCCGCGTCTCTTAATTCCGCCGAGGGTAACTTTTATAAATACGGGAAATATGGAATCATAAAGTTAGACAATGAGCTCGTTATGCGAATGAAATATTTCTGACTTGAATAAATTAAAAGGGACCGTGGCAAGCGGCTTACAAGTGTGTTTACCGAGATAGCCGCGCCTGCTGGTCTACTGGTTTCTCCTAAATTGTTTTATTGCGTATTTATGTCACGGCTCATACAAATGTCGAGTGCGTACACTCGTACATTCGTCACCCGCGCGCCGCTCGTAATAACTTGCGTTATTACGTCCAGAGCTGTTTATCGGTCGCCGCAGATGTGCCAACTTCAACTATTACTATTTAAAATGTTAATGTATACTGTGTCTGAAAAATATATCTTGAAAGTTTGTGGATAGAATGTTAAGTTGGTATAACAGTTTTAACTAAGTAGACAAAACTCGACGGCATTCTATTACGGAGCTTATTTGCGGAGGTAGCGACTTGTCGCGGCTGCGGCGCAAGTCGCGTGTCGCGTCGAGACACGCCATGAATTAATTATAGCGCGCGGCTCTTGTCTCTTTAGACATGGAGTTTTGTCGCGCGAGCTAAACTTGTGCACTTAGTGGCACAGATTCGGCGATGTAAATAAAACATGCGCCACAACTTCTGCTATTTATGACCACCAGACGTTCCGGGAAAACAAGGAGTTTGCTAGAAATAAATAATAAAATAGGTAACATAAACTTTAATAATTTGTGATTACCATAACGAATGTGGTGCACTTATTTCATTTACATTTTCGCAAAATCATAAACAAGGTACGAATATGGTACCCATACCAGAAAAATTACATTAATCTATCTCTGAGTTTCATTTTTATCAAAGATAACGTAACATATGTAAGGAATAAATATTCCATAGCTGTAACATAGAGTTAATATTTAGACGATAACTTATATTGGATCCGCTAACGCTTATGCATTCATCGTGCGACACGCCCCCGTCGCATCGGTCGTGTCGCTCGTGTCGGTCGTGTCGGTCGGCACTTGCATACAACATCAAAGCCGGGCTCGTTCTCACAAATTACTTAACTCGTACTCTGTCACTAATCGCATGTCTACACTGAATAACTTGTAACCCATCATGATATACTGAGCCATTTAATCGAGCTTCTTTTAACCCAACCAAAATGTTATAGTAGTTCTTTAAAAGAAAAACAATTAAAATGGCGACGGGGTTTAATAAAATCACACTTTTATTGCTTTTGTGATTATTACACTAACGAATATTTTGTGAACATAATATTATGATTCACACACTTCAATATAAAAAAATATTATTATTAGTTAGATTGTTATAGTTGTTATAGTGTTTGCATACAAACACTAAGAAGTTAGCAAACATAACAGGAAATGTATAAAGACGAGACTCCCAAGAGCTTAGCATGTTATTATCAAGTTTTATACGTAGGAATGTAGGCAAATGAATAGGTTCATGTTGCTAATTAAAAACAGACGTAGAAGTGCTAATTAGCCTCGCGACTGAATTATTTATGTACAGCTGTGTAAGTTATCACTGCAGTACATGACATTGATCGAGTTACACGACATGCGACTTAGTCAATTGAATCTGGACTAAATAAGTAATAATATATATTTACTGAATTAATTGTTTATCACAGCCACAGTTGTCGGCGTCAGTACGGACGAACCAGACTTGCTCCATTTTGCTTCCTTTCCTTCACAAAGTTTTATGGACCTACGAGTACTGATAAGAACACTTTCTTTTCAAAATAGTTTCTTTGAAGGAAAGTTTGTGTCCGGAATTTTGAACAGACTGGTTTATGAGTAGAGTGTTTAATAGTAGTTTTATTTTTTAACAATGTTTGAGTTTTACGAGTAACTGAGATGCCGTGGAACGTCCAAATTTTTTAATAAGTTCTTACGAGTTTCTTGCAGCATACAGTACTTGTTGTTCTTAATACTTAAATATGATAGTTGACTGACCTGTACAGTGGTATCCCGGCGTCGTCCCTGAACCAGAACACCATGTAGACCTTGTCATTGGCGGCGGTACCGAGGTCGCACGGGAACTGCGCCACCATGCCCTCCACCGCCTGCACGTCCACTGTCCTCACCCCCGCTGCACACACAGAAACAATCTATATTAACATCATTGTAAAGCATACACATACATACTGGTTGTTGAGTGGATCAGTCTGTGAAAATTCAGTATGCCTGTACTGTAGGCATAATTAATATATTTACTTTTGATATTGAAAAACCCAATGAAACTTAGTAAACATTATCTTTACTTTTAAAACAAAACAAATGCATTTTAAAGCTATCAATACTCCGTACCTATGTACAAGCAGTAAATTGACCAATTTGTCTCCAACTATAAAATCCATTTTGCTCTAAATGTCCAACTTTCGCTGACCGTTTACTGGCTGCAGTACTTAAATCCCCATTCGTTGAACGGCGACTCTAATAGATTTACTCCATTCAATATGAGGTTTACATCTGAGCACGTTACACTGGGCGCTGCGACACTCGGAACGTTCAACTGACTATAGAATTTTACTTGAAAGTACCAACACACCAAGCTTCTTATCCATTGTTAAAACTTTATATGAGAATTTCCAAAAATACGTTTGTAGGCCGCGACCTAATCAACGCTACATGCGTGTAGCGAGGATGTGATGCGAGTATAGTTATATCAGCTCGGAGCGGGTCCCGAGAGCGAACAGCAACAATACAATAATGTACACTCCCCGGGAGTCCATTAGTATGATAACGAGATACGGAAGTCTACCAAGATCTAAGTTCGGAGCCCCGGGATTCGGCAGAACTTGGTCCAACATTCTCACAATTATGTGAGCTTGTACGTATATGACGTATTGTGCTTGTGTCACGAGTGTGTGCACCACAGTCGGGTGACAAGGACTTAGCTTTGTTTATGCGATACTAGATATTGTTTCTAAACATGTGATTGCTACATTTTATCTTTCATTTATTATTAATATTTATCTTTCATATATTAATAAATAATAATAACTTTGTATACCTAAAATTCTCAATTTCACCAACTTATTCGGAGAGTGCGTTAATTAGAACGGGAAGGATCCCAAATTGGTGGAAGTGTCCCGAAGGAGCAGTGGCAGGTAGCGGCTGTAGCACCTGCCAAATAAATCACTCGGCCTGTCGCCAGACGTTATAATTTAAAGTCGCTGGGCGCTGGGTCGCAGCGCTCCTTCCGTCCGTCTGTACATCTGTGTGCCAGTGTTGGGAGTGGTACATCTATTCACAGTAATCCAACGTAACCCATTGTGCCAGTAGCCCGCAGACACCGCCCGCTTTGTGCACCTAGTGCTAGGTTATTAATTATGTCCCAGCATCTGTTTAGCCTGTCTGTCTCGCCGATCCATTCAGGCAAACTTACTCGGATTGTTCAAATCTTTTGTCTCTATTATTCAGTTGCAAGCGGTCGCTTTTGTTTTACAAAGAGCGATGCACGTGCTCGTTTTGTTCGTTCCAAGTGTTTGTGAGGGATTTATTAAAGCACGTTTTTGCGAAAACTAATCGTTTGTTTAATGGCTTTGATAAATGTTGCATTAGAACAACACGCCAGGCTGTTGACACGTAGCTTAGTCGCTGCGATTTATACAGATAGCAATTTATCGTCGCGTATTAAACTGGTTTTTATTTAGTTTCACTGTGGATTCTAAACAGGCTATGTTATATTTTGGAATAGTTTTTGTCAATACATTTACTGCCTAAATATTGGTGTGATGTGATACATACATACATAATACTACAAGGTAAGGTAAGCCAGCAGGGTCGCTCCACAGGTTCCTGTAACAAGACGCGTCGGTTTGTCACGCGGCTGCAGCAGGGCTGGCGCGCGCTTGATATGAATATCATGAATACCGTAATATCATGTATCTGTCATGTACATGTCAGTCACGTCCTTATCTGTAGGTAATAAATAGTCTCCGTAGCATCAATAATTCGGAAGATACATGACATTACTTGAAGCGACGCTTCGTACTGACTCCCAATGTATTCTATAACTTGTTATGATTATTATGATTTAGCCTTGTTACTACGATGTTCCTCGGAAAATGATATAGGTATTGATTTCCTAAATGAATTCATAGGTTAGGTTATACATACGATTATGTATAGGATTTGCCGCTGCAAATCGTTTAAAAATATCGAAAAACACGCGTACCTATACAGTCTAGTATCCTTTAATCAGAAACCGTTGTAATAAAAATATAAGTCAGTATCCGTATCAATCTACTGTAATAAAAAAAATAAACAAAGGGTGTTCTCATTTCCATATCAATGACTTTAACTGCTAGGGAAAATCAATCAAGAGTTTTTCAGTGCGACAGCCCTAGCTGTCAGCGCGGTAGTGAGCGATCGCCGAATTTGTTGGTCTAATGAGGAGGCTGCAGGGTTGTCACCCAGCGGTACATCACGCCGCCACCCATCTCGAGATGAATGAATTTTTAATCACCGACATTGGAACAGCCGTCGCGGCCATTTGTATTACACGTCAATATTACTTCACGCTGAAATGGGCCTTAACACAGAAATTGATACGGACGTTATTACAAAAACATTACCTTGTCAATTTATTTTTTCACAATGACGTGGTATGTTTCCGATACGGGGCCAACATGTGGAACGTTTTTATGAGTCGTAATTTTATACTGCCTTTTATTTGTGTGATGTTTAATTCCAATTTCATTTAACATTGCATATTACTTAACTTACTATTCAATATTAGAATAAATAGTATTATTTACCAAAAGGTACATAACTGTGAATGAAACTGTGCTGACTTTGGAGCAAAACCATTTCATATTCATAAGTCACTTAGTGACATGGTTGTCATTTCTGAAACTGTCCCTGAGACAGTACTCGACACCGCTCGGTTCACCAACATGTATACATGTACTTACAAAGTGTAGCTGTCTGTTCGAATAAACTCATTCGTATAACTTTAGGAGCGTAAACCCAAATTTTCTTTTAATATTGTAAATATACGAATAATTCGGAAATTCATTTGCGTTTACAGATAAAGTCAGTCAGCCCTATAAATATCGCAATCACGATCCATCGAAGTGTGTCAAATGAAGCAAATTCAGATTTTTGAGTGATGGCTTTCAGAATCGGCATTTATCGGAAAATCCGATAGTTAATGTAAATATTATTTGACATAATCGCTTCAGCTTGTTGAAATTATAATGTTAACATGAAAACTCATTAATGAATTAAAGTCGGAACAGTCGTTTATGAAGCAGTGTTAATTAATCGGTCGGTACTACTGGTACGCTGTAGTACCGGATTGCCACCGGAGAGCAGCCGGATTGCTGCCGTGAACTGCCGGCTGCCTGTCCACTTACATAGTGCCAATTAGCGAGGTACACCCAGCTTTTAATTACGGCCCGATAATTGCTCACGTAACAAGGATTATAGGCCGTAAGCACTGACTGTTGAATTTAAAGCGACCTAGGTGGCGCCGCTGTCGTACCGGTTGCTGTCGGTAACTATTCTAATTTTATGTAATAGCTTTTCGCCACTACAAAATGATACAGTAACATAACATCACGCCTTTAATCCCCGAAGCGGTAGGCAGAGGTGCACATTAAGGCACTTAATGTAACACCCACTTTGATACAGTGTTACTTTTAAGTCCTGTAGCGGTTTGGTCGTAGCCAAGTGCTACGCCGTAGCCGTCGTAGCTGTACTACGGTGCTATGCAATTCGAAAGCTGAACTCATCGTGTATTTAGTAAGTATTTTGATTTATGTCAGTATTTTTAAGTCAAAATTAAGTTAAATTCACATTTTATTATAGTAGGTATATTATATAATATATTTCAGACACAAAGCTTTAATATTTAAATACCTTAAATATATTTTTAAGAAACAACTATACTAAACAAAAGTTGTTTATAATGGCAATAAGCATGCCTTACATAAGCTTAAACAATAAAGGATGTTTAATGATCTGCCGAGCACTGGCAACCAGAAAGGACACGCGGGTAGGCCGCAACAGTACTCATACTGACAGAATACGAGTTATTTAAATTATTCATGGCACATTCCACACGATGCCCGCAGTTACAATAATAAACAATAATGAAAAATGTCACGATATAAAAATAAATATGAATGTATATAAACGTAAATTTATGTTACAGCGAGCCTCTCAGCCTACGTGGATGGAGCAGTTCAGTCATAAAGTGGGAAATTCTAAACCTTTACCATCCTTCTCTAAACAAAAGGCTGCCATATATGGTCAAGTGGTCGAATATGCAAAAACTAAGCTGTAATTGTGCTCGGTATAATGGTTGCCTTCTATTATAATTACTATCATTCCAAAAGACCATAGCTTCGTCATCGTTATGAACGTGTATGTACACATCTTGTACATAGCAGTAAATATACTAGTACTGCGTCGGGTTTCGGTTTCCTCGATGAATGTTCGATAATTGAAGCGTCCGTTGTGCCGAGTGTGCTCAGCATACGAGGTATGTTCCAACGAACACGGTTACTGACCACTACTTGCGTTGCTTCACCTTATTTCCTGAATACACATACATTTTCTGTAGTTTTATTTTCCTGTATACAAAACTCATACCCATTTTAGATGATAGTAGCGAAATGACCTCTTCCGAGCGTAGTAAAAACATACGATGTTATTAAAAATATGGCATTAGTTGGCACACAACAAAAACAGGGTAAGCCGCAAACAAAGCAATATAGAGGAAGGCAAGCGATGGGTCGGCGCCGGGCGTACACTGCCGCACATTGCCGGTGGGACACAAACGACTCGTGTATCTTTACGGATTCCAATTAACAAATGGAGTGTGTATGTCGGTGTGACGTGTGGCCTCCGTGCTTTTAATTACCGCCGAGTGGCGCTTTGTTGGGCCTGACACCTCGGTCGCACCCGATTGCGATTTAAATCACGCGGACAACATACATCGCTGGGCGGCCATAGCACGCATACTGTGAATCACAGTAACTGTGAGCCGCGGCGGCTATGTATCGTGTGTGCTGCGATGGCGCACGTGATGCAGTGTGGATCAAGATGGCGGCGATCGCTTTACGTGGGTTTAGGTTT